GTTTATACATCTATTTATAACAGGCAAAATGCTGTAATAACATTTACACAGAACACCTCAAAATGTTTGCAATATCCCTTTGGAACCTCAGAAAACTTCTTGTGCTAAAAATTTGTGTTAAATAACTGAATTTAAAGATATTTTAGTGATGCAAAAAATGAAAGTCTTGAGTCAGTGCTTATTGTTAAAAAATAAGATTCCCAACAAAATAATTAAAATAATACCTACTTCAGCTTTTTCTTCTTTATTGAGCCCATTATGCTGAAATATTTCAATAACATTAAATGCTTAATGTTATAGAAATCAGTAGTCATAATGSATACTGTCAGCTGACAGTCAGTTTTTATTCATGTTTCACTCAGCAGGTTTGGTGAAATGCAGGACTTCTTCTGAACCACTGACAGTCATCAGCTGTGTTCACTTCCTCAGAAAGTAGCAACAAAACAGCCCACTTCAAGTTTTTGTGTAAACGTTTGGTAGTCCTGTAAAACAACTGCCTTATTATGATGATGATTGATGATTTTTCTCCTTCATTTTTTTCTCTTTGTTACACCACAAGGTTGTGTTCTGTATATAATTTGCAGTTTTGATGAACATATATTCATTAGAAAGTTTAGATTTAATGGTATGTTTTTAGATTTACCAACACGGGCTGCAGTCTACGTTACAAGTTCTGTTCTGACAGGGCTGTCTTCCTGCAAGAAGACAATTATTTTCAGTGTTGSTGAGACAGAATTATGGAACCAAAYCAAAGAYTGTTTCTTTTTCYAAACAACTTATCCAAACTAGCACTYTTATTCTGAAMTGGATTGTGCTGAAAGTCCTTCAACCAAAATGAYCTAGATTATATTTTAATTTAACTGGATTGAACAAATAATCACACCTCACCAGCCATACGGCTTTCATTTGGAYCATGAAACCATGAATCAGCTTTTCATCCTTACAGAGTTGCTAAAAGGGTCAAGGAAGTTTTAATGACCAGTCCATACATAGTGGATCAAGAGGTTTGCAACTCTGCTAATCAAAGAGACTAAGAGGTCGCTTTTAGGGGCCTATTTGGTCTCTTTCATAATCAAAGAGAGAACTGGTTGAAATTTCCAAACAAAGTTGAATTTGCTCCTGGTGCGAGTCAGACTCTGTCAGAGCTGCCGCTTTCCCAATTCAGTTTGTGGTGTTCATAGACAGGCTTGGAGAAGTCATGAGATAAATGGTGTCTGGTTAAAAAACCTCAGGAGCTGTCATATGATAAAGGATGTCTGGTTTAGAAACTACATATTAGTTTTAAGCATATGATGTGGTTCTGTTTGCACYTTCAACCTATAAACTCCAGTGAGCTCTGAGAGGGTTTGTGGCTGAGTTTGAAGTGGCTGGAATAAGTGTACGTCTGAGTTTATGGTTCTTAATTGGGAATAAAAAGGTGGAAGGCTACTTCTTGATTGGTGTCTCTTCCTTAAGCAAAATAAATGAAGTAATAGCAGCTTAGTTYATTACGTTGGGTGAATCTATCTGAAAACAGAACAGTAAATTTAATATAAGAAACAAAATCAACAGGGAGAGTTGACATGAACCAAATAACTTAAATAAACAAAATATTTTTGACTTTTAATGGGACCTTATAGGTACTGGTGATGCTGTGCTGACTCTGCTGAATCCCAAAACGTTTTGTAAGAATTTTGTTTGTAGATTTTAGTTCTGCTTTTAAGTCAATGAAAACTCGTATTATTTTAAGGAGGCTCGTTGGTGCTGTTATAGTAAGCTAGATATTAATGTAGCCAAAACAAAAGTATTGATCATATGCACCAAACAAGACCAAAAWGTGGAGCCAGTTTCACTTGATGGCCAACTTGTCAAAACTGTGGCAAACTTTAAATACTTAGGGGTCATTTCTGGACAGTAAGCTCACTTTTGCTGAAAACACTAATTACATTTTTAAGAAACGTTCTCAGAGACTTTGTCTTCTGAGAAGACTTAGTGGTTTGGGGGTTAGTCAGCAGACTCTAGAGCTTGTGTATAAGACCATCATTGAGATTGTCCTAACCTTTCATCTCCCTGCCTGGTGTRGTCACACGAGTTGTAGACTAAGGAACAAATTCTCAAAAAAAGTGTTTCAACTGCAATTAAAATTGTGGAGAAACAACAAAAAACTCAGTCTCAGCTGTTTGAAGAAAGAACATGGAAGACGAGGAACATTTTAGCTGAAAATAGCCATCCTCTTTTTCATCAGTTTGAACCTTTGAGCTCAGGAAGGCRTTTTAGGGTCCCTCAACAAGAACATCCACAAAAAATCATTTATTCCCAATGCAATAACCATTCTTAACCAAACTAAATGACAATCTTCCATCAGTGATATGTTAAGAGGTTTTATTATTGTTTTTTGTTTTGAATTTCTGAAATTATGATTGTATTTATGTGTTTTCGTATGAATGTGTTTTATGGTTGGAAAGCCAAGGAAAATTTACGCCTTGGTGGACAATAAAGGTTTATCTTAACTTATCTTATCCTCCCACAAGGTCACYATGCAAAGTTCATATTATAAATTCAACACAAACATCAAGCATCACTCCTCTGAGAAACTCAAACACAGACTGTAAACACATCATACTGTTAGACATGAAAATATGTGGATCTGCTTTTATTTCTGAGGACGGTTTACATCATTAAAACATTGATAAAATCTGAGAATGACAGAGAACAGTAAGCTGCTGCCACAAAATAACAAGACATCCCAGGACTTTAAGTTTACGTATTATTACCAGTTTGACCAATTTGCTTTCGCAAATTTGCTGCGACAATGAAGCACACCCCTTAGTGTGTAAGATCTTGTTCAAGTAAAGCTGCAGTAATACAGATAGGACTATATTTTCAAGCCTTGTTTAATAAATACACAAAAAACTGTCATTAAATTATAATGTGAAGTTCTACCACGAAGAAAACTACACCTCCTTTGGGAATTTGGAACTTAAAGCTAGAACGGGACCAATGATCCCGCAGACTTGTTCCAGATAGAAGTCCCACCCACAAATGAACAGAGCACTGACCTTGACATACAATACACGATAAAAATTTTTTTTAGGTGTTTTGAAGGGATCTAATTTCCTAAATAATAAGCTGGAAAAGAGGCCACGCTATGAGCTACGAGGGAGGCCAGACGAATTACTGCATTCCTTCTGACACTTTAACCCTTTATTGTAAATGTAAATATTGTACTAAACTTCATTGTTGGTCTGATAGAAAATACAGCAGGAAAATGTAACAAAGAGACAAACCCATTTTAACTGTTATACATCCTCCTCACGCTTCTTGTTAATGTGAACTTCAGATTAACCGACACAAGAGAAGCTCTAACTGTCAAACAGAAGCTAAAATAAACTGAAACGACACATTTAACCCTGCAGGYGTCCTGATCGGCTACTGTGTGGGTGTACTGGAAAGTAATCAGACTAAAAAATAAAAATAAAAGACAATTCCATTTTAAAACAACTGGAAGATCKTTATGTTAGGTTTGTAATGGAATTAAAAGCTTCAAATTGAAAAAAAAGTCTTAAGCAAAGAAAATACAAATTTTATTATTCTTTGAAAATCTTTAAATCTAATTTTAAAGGACTCACTGACATTTGTAATAAAGATATTTTTCTTGTTTAAAACCCAAAAAGACTGGGGAAAAAAAAAAAAACCTTACATCTTCTTCCTCATATTCTAAAAAAACATGATCAAACTGTGAGATATTCTTTCAGGCAGAACTGAGTATCAGATATTGACGTAGCCTCTTGACAATCCTTTCTGCTGACTCTTGTTAAGCTAATAGCTCCATCAGCTGGTGGGAAAGTGAAAACTGTTTGCAGTGAACAAATAAAAGTCATTCGTAGCTGCAGGTTGGGAAAATCCTARAACTCTAAAAGGTGTCAGAAACTCCGTTTGACAAAATTCAGCTCTGTGTTTATAGCAAAAATAAAAATCAACAATTTTTTTCTCAATTTAATATTGATCAGATTCAAATGTGAAGGTCTTTAAAAGTTCTACTCCCTTTATCACAGCTGTGCTCTGATTGGTCAGTCACTCAGGGGTGGAGTTTAGGGAAAGGTAATAAGTTCAGAGCATCTGTCATTTAGTTCCATCAGCTGCCTGCAGAGATGCACAGGTGTCTCAGCCAGGTGTGTTCTCAGGAATCAGAGATCATGACTCACTAATTACAGTTTGCTTACTGGACACAGGCTCACACTGCACTCACTCTGCTTCTTGTCCTGAGCTTTTCCTGTAGTTCTTCAGCTTTGTCTTCCTGAAGGAAGTGAAACTTTGGCCAGATTCCTCTGTCTTCTTCTCTTCCTTCTSCTCCTCTGGACACACRGCTCCACTCSCGTCCTTCTCTGTTTTCTTCTCCATGATTTCTTCTCCAGTTTCTTTCCTGTCTTTGCCCTCCTCCTCGTCCTCCTCCAGATGACTGAGCTGTAAATTCATCTCCTTTCCTTGCTGGGACTCCTGCGCGGAAACCTGTTCCTTCAGCGGCCGCTTAGGTTTGGAGAAGATCATCCTCTGCTGGACGTCACAGGGGGCGGCGGTTTCAGYTTCCCGCCGCAGACCGGACAGGAACTGGTGAGCTGCCCTCCTGTTGTCCCGATCGCTGCTCTCAGGCACGTCCTCCAAACTGTAGCGTGTCCAGCGCTCCGGGTGCACCAAGTAGTCCGGCACGCCTCTCTTCTTCGGCGGCGGCGGCGTGGAACAGGTGGGTGGGGGATGGCTGGTCTTCCTGCTGCCCGCGGCGCTCCCTTGGCTCGGGGCGGGGGTGGTCTGCCGCTCGACGCTGTCCAGGCAGTCGAAGATGCTGCGGCTGCGGTGCGAGAAGGCTGAGCCCCCCCCGCTCAAAGTGAACRTGCTCTGAGCTGGGGGAGCAGGAGCCGAGGTGCAGACCTCGGCCTCCCTGTCGTCATCGCTGTGATCCAAGTCGGGGTCGAAGGGAGCGTTGCTGGGTTGCTCTTCGGGCTCAGACTCGTCGCTCTCTGACAGCTCAACTGAGTCTTCACTGATCGTCTGGCTGTGGTCTCTGACGCGTCTCCGATCAGACATCTTTGCACTGCCGCTGCAGCTCTGCTGAATAAACTAACTAATGGGGGGAAAAAAGAGAGAAAGTCAAAATTGCAGTCGTGGCTAAAGAGACACTTCAGAGAAATTCTACAAACAAGTTAGATGAACAAAAAATAAACACCTTTGGAGGTTTGGCATGTACACACACAACCTGGCATAGTGTTTTATTGTACAAAACTCATATCATGGCTTATATCTAAGCATCCTACACTGGCATGACTTGAAAATCACTGTTAACTTGGCAGCTAAATATAATTTCCAGTTCATAGACTAAACAGGGGGGACCTCTTTCACATCTAAGGTTTCACATTAAAGGAATCATATGAACACACCTTCAGATGAACATGCTAGCTACATCACTATTTATGTAAACATAACTCAACGTTCTGAATGGGTGTTTTGAACTGTAATTTCATTGTGCTCTGTACAATGACAATAAAGGTCTATCTAAKSTAACCCAAAATGTAAGAGCAGAGAGTAAATCTCAAGTCCTCCCCCCCCCCCCCCMCCATTTTTTGCTTTTATAAGAAATCTGAGTCTAAATAGCAGCCAAGAGTTGCTGATTAAAAGTATTGAACGACTGAGCTTCAGTAAATGCTGCCTTTTTGAAATTTGGTATGCTTGTTTGTTTTTGTGCTTATAGTGTGTAATAATGTGTTGTGATGTTGGATTTCTGAGTGTTTTATGTKCTGCAGAACAGGAACCTGCTGTAAAAACAGCAATTATGCTGAGTCAGGCTTGATTTCTATTAATCTTTTCCTGTTTCAATCAATCAATTAATTGTGAACTCAACCATAAAAGCAGAAGTTTTATCATTTTGCTACTCTGAAGATTCTACCACAATTTTCTTTGAATAGACAAGCCCAAAAAATAAAGATGTCGGCTAGCAGCAGTCAGCATGGAGGTGGAGGGATGATGATTTGGGTTGGTTTTGCAGCCAGAGTTTGTTGTTTTGCAAGCCAGTAAGCTCGGCCCAAACTGGGTCATGCAACAGAACAATAATCTACACAACAAGGCGAGTCGATAAGGTCATACAAACATGACAAGAAAGAGCTATTCCTGCTAAATGTGGTTCTACAAGTCATTCTGCATTTTAGCTTCTGTTTGGCTGAATAAATAGTGACAAAGTATGTATGACACGTTTTTGGAGTTATTTAAAGTTGTATTCACCTGGGGTTTAGTAACCCTGTGTGTTATGCATCAATGTACCACTTCATTTGTTCAGTTTTGGACAMAATCCTACCAGCTCTACACAGTTATGGATGGGTAACCTCATGCCTGGTAGCTTTGAAAAGTAGGAGTATGTCTCATTTGAATACTTCTGTTGTGTAACCACCACACACTACTAGTTAGTAATCCTTTTGTGATTCAAGCCAGCTTACATGCTCACAAACATACAGTACACACATAATTATTGCTTTAAAAGGTATTCTATTCAATCTTTTCTGTTAAATACAAAAATCAAACACAACATAATGTGGTCTGTTATTTTCAAGGCTCAACGACGATGATCCACATATTCTTCATCAGATGCCCTGACATGGCATCAGACTTGTCTTATAAGAACGTGATTATTGTTAGAATTCAGCTTAGAAACGTGTGAGGAAATTTATGGAGAATATATAAACATTTCCCAGTCAGAAACACATAAAAAGCCTTAATAATTCAAGGGTCACACAGGTAAAATGTATAACCCCCTCAGATTTATAATGCGAAATAACGTAGAAAAACTATAATAACTTATCTGTATGAAGTTCAGAAAACTGCAAAAACATTCAGTACTGCAGTTATAGTTTACCTTTAATGACTCTCTCACCACCTGGCCTAAATAATTAATATCTGCCATGACAAACAGCTCAACAGAATGGTTAGCATGCTAAAGCTAACGAATTTACCGAGATCGGTCCATTCGTCAACAACATACAAACACACGTCTTGTAGAATACACATGAGACAATTACGTTTATTTGTTACTGTCAATTAAAACACACTTTAACTTTTACGTTTATTCTCGATGTTTTACCTGAAAGCTAGCTCGCTGTTAGCCACTCTTCTTCTACGCTGTTGTAGTGTTTCTACCACGTTGCTGCCACCTAGCGGTGAACCATTGAGTCTGCAACAAGATAAGATGTAAAACACATTCTAGGTGACGAAAAGCGTTTTGTATGGTTTTAAGTTATATTTAAATTTACCATTCCTTGCTTAAAAAAACATGTTAGATGTACAAGGACTCTCTAACAATAAGCGGGTTTAGTGGTTATTAAAAAAGCAGCGAGCAGAGCAGTACTGCGCATGCTCAGCAGACCGACACCCGTGGGCGTGTCTCTGGTAAACTCGTTTTATGATTGGATGTCACAATGTTGACCGGGATATTTTTGAAAGTAACAGGGAGGAAGTGCCATTAACTTTCTGCTTGTGAAATACAGCAGTAAGGCCTGTCTGTTTTAACCAGCTAACAGAAGTATTTGTTAGTTATCATGGAGTCCGAAGGACGGGAAACAGCATGTATAGTTAACGATATGTCAGATATGGTTGTCGTTGATCTGGATTCTACAGTTACAGCAGAGCTGGAAACAGAAGAGGAGGAGGCCCGTAATGTGTTGGACGTAACTCAAGGTCCGAATTTTTTTTCTTTTATGTGTTGAGTTTGTTGTACATATAGTTAAATGTACTTGTCTTTTAGGGGTGTACACATTAAAATGTCCTAACATACCGATAATGCTAAGCTAACAAGCTAGTGCTACATGCCTGAATGTTTTGCATTCATCGACGTTAATGCTAATGAGTCCTTTAAACGTTTTGSTGGTTGTTTTAATCGACGGGACTTCTTGCTTAGTCTTTAATACAATGAACAAACCTGAAAGATAACGTTATTGTGGTATCTCTTGTTATTGCATTGCCTGCATATTATTAGTACATAAAATAATCGTCCTGTTATTGAAGCCTCTGAGTAAAAACACACCCAAAGTGAAATGATGGGTTTGCTTCCCCCTACAGCCCTGTTTCAGAACGAAGACGATGAAAGACAGAAGGATGAGGATGATGACAGTGGCACAGACCACTGTAACAGTGAAAAGTCTGGGACCCAGCTGCAGAGATGTGAGCGACACAAAGGAGGGAGCTCCACGCTTCCCGACACCTTCCAGACCAGCAACCTGTTATTCTATGAGAGGTTTAAAGCTTATCAGGACTACATGCTTGGTAACAGTGGCTTCAGATGTATTGATAATCRCAGCCTGCCTGCAGCGCTTCAGTATGATGTTCATTGGGATTTGCTCTGTTTCTTGTGTGAAGGAGATTGCAAGCCCTCAGAGGTACAAGCCTTCATAGCAGACTACCTGGACAAGGTGATGGAGCCATGCGAATGGTTGGCTTTATGGTGCACTGACGTCTTCGATGTTCTGGTGGAGGTGAGAGCAGCTGCCACCGTAGTGTTAACTTCAAATTATTTGTCAGAGGATCCTTTCCGTATACGATTACATCACAATTCTGACAGCAGCCGTTTTGAAAGGGATGCTGTTGGTGATTTCAGGTGCAAGATTTGGACCTAAAGGATCTGAAAGCTTGTGTGAAACTCGTGCTGCCGCTGCAGTGCGACACCAGAAACTGTGAAATCACTGAGGAGGCCATGACTTCTCTCCTCGAAGCCACCAAGCAAAAAGTGCCCCTGCTGGAGCTGCAGGTGGTCTACGATGAGTCTGGAGACTTTGATCAGACCGCTCTTGCTCTTGAGCACCTCAGGTGGGACTCCTTAAAAAGGTTCTCTACCTGGGGATAAGTTTCACGTGTTTTGGTATCGTTTGTTTCTGAAACATTCTTTCTGTTTGCAGGTTTTTTTACAAACACATCTGGAGGCAGTGGGACGAGGAAGAYGAGGATGACGACTTTGACTACTTCGTTCGTTGTGTGGAGCCTCGGCTCAGATTGTGAGCACACCCTGAGATTCTAATGAGTTTATGCATCTTTAAAACATTAAACTATGTTTTAAAAAAACTAATTTCTCTTGTGTCAGCTACTACGACATCTTGGAGGACCGAGTTCCAGCCGGCCTGGTGGCAGAGTACCAGTCCTTACTGGAAAACTGCTCCAAGTGCTTCCAGCAGTTTTCGGAGCTGCGCAGCAGCCTCTGCGTTGACTCGGACTCTGAGCTGGACAACGTGTCCATGGTGGAGGGCCTAAAGCTCTGCGACTATCTGGAGACATTCAAACGCAAACTGCACATCATCGAGAACCCCCTGCTGAGGTGCCACTCATCGTCCTGCTCTCGTAGACCCTCCACCATCCAGCCTTCCACATAACAACCTGTAATGCCCTCTGCTCTTGTCCAGGTACGTGCTGGCCTACAAAGGAAACTCCCAGCAGCAGCGCGTACAGAGCCGTGGACTCAGAGCTTCAGGTGTGAAGGTGGTCCACGTGGTGACGGGATCCTGCAGCATCATCCAGCTCCAGTCCCTCCTCGGTACACGACTGATGTCCCTGTGCTCCTCGGAGGACACCGAGATTCAGGTCAGTGCCACGCATGACTACAGATTAGTAAAAGTGACCGCAGAAAACTTTACAAAGGTGAGTTCTAAATTTTAGTTATCTACTTAAAAGAGTTCAAACTCTAACTGTAAGTAAGATTAGTTCAGATGAGGGGTTTTAAGCTTCTCCCAGTGCAGCTGCCTGCAGTCACACAAAGACCTTTTGTGGATGAAGGAACACACCGCCTCTAAACTGAGTCACACTCAGCAATGCTTGTGACCTTCGCAAATCTGATGGTTTAAATCTTGCAATTAATCTCTGGATGGAAGCTTTCCCTCAGGAAAAGAAAGATTTCCCAGCATGTTTGAAGGTGGTTCACGTGGAAATGGCCTCCTTTTAAAAGCCTTTTGATTCAAATAAGACATTCAGCTGCACGTTTTTTGAGGCCTGAGGTTCATCTGAAGTAGCTTTTTTTCATTAGTTTAAACATGTTTTAAGCCAAAAATGTAYGACGCTGTGTGACAAACTGGGTCCACCTGATGATCTTACTGTTTCTAAAATCAACTTCAACAGCAATAACTTGAAGCTGTTTTCTTTATGATGTTGTTTCAGTTTAGTGAAAACTTGCAATTTTTTTTTCATATAGATAGTTTAATTCTTTGAAGTAGGAGGTGCAGTGTTTATTAGTGGGTACCAACAATAAACATTAGATTTTAGTTTAGAGAATTASGGTAGAAGGGATTTTATGCCACGCTTCCAAACGAGCCCTATTTGTTCACTTTTCTAATTTGTCTCCACACCATGAACTTTAAAGTGCCTGTGACATCAATTTTTTTTAATAATTCAAATGCATTTTTGGAAAGATAACACTGAGAACATATTACAAAATAGACTTCACGCTGCTGAGATGAACAGTTGTTGAGATATTTGCATGTGAAATAACAGGAAGTGATGTCAAAGGGGGATGTCTGCATGAAAACAAAGCTAAGCTAAAATGCTCAACAGCCCAGACTGTGGAGAGGAATCTGATGTTTTAGATTATTTTGAGTCACTATCAGACAGAAACAAGAAAAAACAGAGTTTAAATCATAATGTTTCAATAAACAAAGACCAGTGAGTTATTTGTCTTAGGAGTTCCCCTTTGATGTCACTTCCTGTTTCCCTTTTGCCGAGCCAAGTTCAAAAGAAGATAGGCCAGTTATGTGTCCAAATGGGTAAAATAATGTGTGGTATGCCAAGTTTCTTAAATAGAACAAAGTTTTCTTTGACTTTTTGTATCTGAAGGAKAAGCACGTCACAGACACTTTGACTTTTAACTCACAAACTGAGGCCTAGAGTCTGAGATGAAAGCTCTGAGGATGGACTGACTTTACGCAACGAATTCTAAAACACATCCTGATCATTAAAACCCAAGAAGGAAGCGGTTGTTCTGAGTTTAATTATTTATTTTTTTGCCTTCATTGCATTTAATTTGAACCATATGACGTGCATGTTGCTGTTTGAAGGCAGGGTCACAACTCTGCTCTCTGTACACGAGTAGTGGATGAGCTGTGTCTTTCCTTCAGTTCCACACAGAGCCAGTGTCAGCTGTGGATGCATGTCATCAGGGCGACGTGGTGATCATTCTTCCAGGAGTCTACAGTGTCAGCAAGCCCATCTTCATACCAGACTCCATCACCATTGAAGGTAAAAAAAAAAAAAGCTCTAAAAGTAGATGTTTTTTTGGAACCTCTCTTGTTTTTTTTTTCCCCCCTTATTTTCCACTGATGTCTCATTTTGTGTTTTAGTCAGTTGGCAGTAAAAAGATTTAATTTTATTTTTTTAGAACTGTTTCAAATCAATAAAGTTTGAGCCATTGCACAAATTATAAGCAAAACAGCTAATAAGAAAACCTAATATGATTGAATGTATTMATTTGGTGCGTTCTGTGTTCCAGGTTTTGGGTTTCCCGATGAAGTTGTGATTGAGAAAATAGCCAAAGGTGACTCGTTTGTGGAATCCACAGGAGCTGATGTCAGACTGTCCAACATTAAGTTCATCCAGCACGATGCCATTGAAGGCATTCTGTGTGAGTATTTCATCCTCAGAAACCTGTTTGATGCTGACCAGTTGGTTAACCATAGATTAAACCAGCTACAAAATGTTCTGCATTCTGTCATGCAAGTGAAACCGCAGGTGTTTGTCTCACTGACAAGTTAAAAAGAAAAACATACAACAGGCTCATGGCTAGTCTTGTTCTAGTTTTTTAACGAGCAGCCCACTGAGTGCTTGAACCACAGGTTGAGTCAAGAGTCACAGGACATGCATTTGTTTCAGAAAGAAATGGGAAAATGACATTTCTGAATAACCCAGCAAGTCATAGGTGAGGGGAGCTCATCTTGATCCAATATGGCAGCTTTCTGGGTGGCGTCCATGTTCTGCAATTAGCCTAAAAGATAGGCCCCCTCACCTGTTACTTGTTGGGCTATTCACATGTCCTTTTCCCTTTTCTTTCTAAAATAAAAGGGTGTCCTGCATCTTTTGACTCAAATGTACATACATTTAGAACATGTTGCCCACTATTTATTTAGGCATTTGCCATGTGAGCTGCTTCAGCAGCACATTAAAGAGATCCATGATTAGTGTTAACATTAGACTTTATTTCATAAACATATATTTTAACTGTAAAATAAAGACTAAAAATACTGTAGGATGTTTGGTTTTTATCATTTTTAAACTAAAAGTTTAAAAATATATTACATGGACAGGGCCGTTTTATTTACACACAAACATTCTGGGTAAATGATGACGTGGATAGGTCCTCGGTGCGAGGCTGCTAGCGAGCTATATCCACCCTGAAGGTTAATCTTGGACAATATCTGAAGATCGTCTCTTTTAAATGAAACCAGAGAGCGTTGACAGAGAGGAGAAGGTAGAAATGACTCAGCCTGTAACTGAAAATATAGGTGGAGGACAACAGAGCTGCTTCATGGAAGAAGAACTCCAGCTTAGCCTGTTAGCTTTAGCATTAGCTCTGATGCTATCAGGTTTCTTCAGTTTCAAGAAGGAGGCTTCTTCAATTTCGCTGTAATACAGACCACTACAGAAGATCTTTCCTGCCCACAGCCATCAGCATCTACAATAATTCTTTAGTTAAATGAGTTGCAACAACACCTAATTTCCCTCTGGGATCAATAAAGTATTTTTGAATTGAATTGAATTGAATTGAATCACCATATGTATTAGCTCAGCGCTACACATTCTTCTCTCGTCACTGAGGTCCTCCATCCACGACAGAGAGGGGAACGYAAAAATGACTCAATCTGCAACTGAAAATATGGATGGAGGACCTCAATTTAGCTTGTTTGTCGCACTAGCACCGAGCTAATACATATAAGGCAGTATAGCATTGGCGCTAGCGCAAAGGCTAACAGGCTAAGCTGAGGTTCTTCTTCCATGAAGCAGCTCTGTTGTCCTCCATCTATATTTTCAGTTACAGGTTAAGTCATTTCTACCTTCTCCTCTCTGTCAACGCTCTCTGGTTTCCTTTAAAAGAGTCGATCGTCAGAAATTGTCCAAGATTAACCTTCAGGGTGGATAGAGCTCGCTCACACCGAGGACCTATCCATGTCATCATTTACCCAGAATGCTTTGCGTGTAAAAAGTCTCCATCTGTGTTAAAATATTTTTTAAAATTTACAAAACTGAAAGCCTACAGTATTTTTACAGTCTTTATTTGACAGTTAAAATAAATGTTTATCAAGTAAAGTCTGATGTTAATCAGGGATCCATTTACAGCAGCATTTCAGTTGAAATTGTACTTCTACACATAGCAGCAAGGAGCTAATGCGTTTCATCGTGTTCCTGCTTGTGGATTATTCAGGCGTGCGTCAGGGCACTCTGAACATGGAGAACTGTGTGCTGCAGTGCGAGACCACCGGTGTGACCGTGCGGACATCTGCGCGCCTCACCATGAACATGTGTGACCTGTACGGCTCCAAGGTGAGCTCTGATCGACGGTTAATGCCTGGTCTGGTGGAAACCTTTGGGGACTCCGTGTTCTTCTGGAGTGTCGTCTGTTTAAGACAAACTTGTTGCTTCATCAGCTGATCAGTAGCGTTGCTGTTTGCAGGGGGCCGGTGTGGAGATTTACCCCGGCAGCGTTTGCATGCTGGTTGGTAACGGCATCCATCACTGCAAGGACGGGATATTGATCAAGGTGATACATGAYGGCTTCTGGAAGACTTAAGTCTGAAACAAAAACTGCAGAACATTAGAGTCTTTGTGAATATTCTGGAATGAGAAGTGACTGAAAATAGGAAGGCTGTGTAAATGTTTGTGTGTACCTGGTTTTTGTTACCTTTTTAGCACCTTTTCTGTTATAAACACCTAACTTTGCACAATCAGTAGTCCTTTCTGGGACTAAAGCCTGGTACTAATATGGTAGAACACCATTTTTGGTTTAGGGGTTAGGTTGTGGACTGGGTTTAGCTTGGGGTTAAGGTTAGGTATGCACTGGGGTTGGTTAGGTTTAGGGTCAAATTACAGAAATGAGTGGAAGTTAATGCATGCTCCTGATACAGATTGAAATACAAACTCGTGCCTGTAGGACTTTGCCGGTGAGATGGTTGGGATGCCAGCCATCACCATGGAGAACAATGTGATCCACAACAACGAAGGCTTCGGTGTGATTCTGGTGAAACCAGGAAATGAAGAACATCAGGTTCCTGCTGACAGGACTGAAGGTGAGCAGCAGCTTCAGTGTGTTCGTTGTTAGCAGGAGAAGTATTTGACAGAAGCTTTGTTTGCAGAAGACGCGGCTGCAGACAAGCAGCAGGAGGGCATCACAGATCCACACTCCACGTTAACCTCTACCAACAGCAGCTCGGCCTCTGTCCAGACCGGGTCAGCAGACTCCAGCARCGCCGACGGAGATGCGGCCTCCGTCTCAGGCAGGAAGTGGCAGCTCAGCCGTCAGCTGAGCCGAAACAAGGAGGCGTCCTGCAGCCGAGCCGTCCAGGATCTGATGGAGCACCAGATCTTCGTTTCTGTTCAGGGGAACCAGTTCAAACGGAACGGCAGGGGGGACTTTGGTGCCTTTTTTTACTGACTGAGATTCGACATTCTGAAAGCAGTACCAGTGGTGCGATTAACAGTGATTTTCTTACTTTGTGAGCAGAAATTGTTTTTGATAGCCTGGTGTTCTCTTCTGTCGTAAAGTAGATACAACCTTTTAAAATTGTATTTTGATTGACAGAAGACAGGAAGTATTCATCTGTTGTATTGCAGTGCTCTGACCTTTTTAAGCATTCACTGATGGAAAATGTATTCTACTTTTGACTTTGCACAAATTATTTTATGTAATTTATTAATTTTGTTTTTCTGTATTTTTTTTAATGCTTTGATTAAAATGTCACATTTTAATTAGTTTTGGGGGGTGGAACTTTAGATCTTGTAAATGTTCTCGAGTTCTTTGACTTGTTAGTTACAAATCAGTGTGGGGTAAGTTTTGGATTTTCATTCGGTGGCTTCACGACTACTTGTAGAAAGTGTTAAATTTATGCATTTTATGCAGATTAAAATGTTTTTTTGAAACGTAACGTTGCAGGACTGTTACACAGTTCATACACTGCATGAATGTTTAAGGCTTTTAATGATTTCCATGATCACTTGGCAGGGAGTAATCTACAGTTTTGACTATCTAAAACACAAGAATTTGYATGTTTAAATTTATTGTGGAATTCCTAACCCTCACGGTAAAAACTAAACATGCATCATAAATACAGATACATTTCCACTAAGTGATTAGGTGTCCCTTCGCAGGTTGGCGTGGGGGCTTCTTCGTTGGTTGACACATCAGTTCATGACTGTAAACTGGGTTCAGTTTAAGCAGAATCTATCAGCAGTTTCCAATTCATGACAGACCTGAGCTTTAGTGGTTCTTGAGTTCTTCCTAAAGCTTCTAACCAAGTTTCTTTTTTTTAAATTTACCATTATTTAATCAGGGGTGAAACCAGAGTACCCAGAGAAAACCCATGCAAATACAAAAACATGCTAACTCCACACAGAAAAGCCCCAGTCCAAACTGGGGATTGAACCAGGACCTTGCTGTGAGGTGTCAGTGCTAACCACTGAGCCATCGTGCTGCATGCTTTTATCTGAGGGTGACGTTTGAGTCTTCTTCCAGACCTTGTGACAGCTGAAAAACTTGTCCAGGTGTTGGAACTGAGGATTTCAGAATCCCAGGTCATTTCTAAATGGCTTCGTGTTGGATAAACTAACAACTGGTAAAACAGGGTCATTCTAGTAAAAAAAAAAAACTTAAACCATCCTAAAACTTTCAGCACCACTTACTGGAAGATTTGGATGAATGTATGGATTTATAATTTTAAACTTGTGTGGATTCAAAGAAAGTCAATAAATTAAAACTTGTGCACTAAATTAATTTTTTTTAAACTGATAAATACTTAAAAGATTCAACACAGAAAACATGTTAGTTCCAATAAATTATTAAAAGCCCCAAATGAACATTCTTTGTAAGAATCTAAATCATGCTTGAACATCCAGGAGGTGGGATTCCCAGAAGAGCACTCCATGGGATTTTTTTTAAATATACAGGAAATAAGGGAGTCAAGAGAACTTATTACCAGGTTTCCAGTGTCATCAATTATCCAGAGAAAATAACTTCACCTATTTTTACTTCTAAACTTTTTATAAAACTATGTAAAAAACGAGGTCTTGAAATGATACTCAATGTCTTAGAGAAGCACATCAATGAATCATTTGAATGGTCTCTAAGCTTACCCAAAGAACAACACGCATAATGTTGCTTAAAACCTCAGAAATATATTTGTATATATATTTTTTGCAAAAAATCTTAGTGCAAACTCAGTTTTTCCATGATTGCAGTTGAGCTAACTTGGAAGTGCATCATAGTATCTTCAATCAATCAACTCTATGGTTGAGAAGCAACTGTTGCACTCCTCAGTCTCATCCTCATACACTACCTGGGCAGACTGTGGTGGGTCCAAAACATCAGACGTTTAGAACAAGCTTGGAAACATTTCAGGATCTTTAAGCTAAAAGGAAGTTCTGTAATCCCCAAAAATTCAGGCTCCAACAACCATCTGGTCGATGTAAAAATCCCACAAAATGTGAAACGTGATAAAAGAAAAAAATAAATATATACATATATATTGTATTTCAATACAAATAAGAAATGCACTTTCATCATAGTGAATTACACAGACTGTCAGATATACAGCATGTCTCTGTATAACCAGCGTGTTCATCTTTCTGTTAACAGCCAACACTGTTAACTACAGCTCAACGTGCACACAGACATGAACACAGTTCAGGCAGTTTATGAGTGCAACGATTCATTCCACATAAGGCAAAGTATTGTGTATGTTTCAAAGCAAAGCGGCGGTCATGTACCATCTGTATACAGGTCAATATGAAAATATTGCTTCATCTGACAAGTAAAAATATTTTCAGCCGGCTTGCTGATTTGACTGTTGAGCTCTATAGAAAAGAATCACTGGAACGTCCGATGATGYGAGTTCAGCCAGAGAATCAAAAAGAGTTGAAATTGTTTAGAGTTGTTAGATTGCAGGTGAACGTCGCCTCACTGCTCCTCAGAGTCCTGCTTGCTGCTCAGGTGGCTCCCCTGCACCTCCAGCTCCTCGGCGCTCACCATGGAGGGATCAATGGCAGCGTACCTGGTCCCRTGGAACTGACGCAGGTGAATCTGAGAAACAATACAAACATTAATTCTGATGAATCGAACCTTGTGATGAGTCGCAATGAAACCACAGCACATCCAGACAGGATGAAAAATAACAGACAGTATTAATTTTAACTTCTTTTTCTGAACAGAAGGTTGCTGGGTTTTTTTATGTTTTGTTTTCAAACACAGCATAAAATTTGATTGCTTGAATTTTATTTATTTTATTTTTTTATAGCAAAGAATAAAACAGCTGATTCAGAGTCTGTTTTATTCCTGGACTGTGTCCTATTAGGGCAGAGCAATTTAAATGAATGTGACTAATGACATTATTAGTGAATGTCCAAGTAATAAAAAACATGAGAACATAATAAATTTTACATCTAATTTAAAACTCTGTGTATCAGATTTTCTTAGGCTGAAAAACCTGGTAATGACCAGGTTTAAAAACTTCATAATATTTAGTTATTTTTTACTGCATCACAAATATTTTGTCAGAACTTTACCATGGCATAATCACAAATATCAATTATTTTATTTTATTTTATTTTATTTTATTTTATTTTATTTAACCAGGCAAATCCCATTGCAATTGCAGATCTCTTTTTTGCAAGAGCGGCCTGGGCAATAGGGTTTTTCAGTAGGTAGAGGAGTAATATTTAAAGCATGTTATAAGAAAAATTAGAAAAAAAAAACCAGATGGTGCTAAAATATTTCACTTTGACATTTGTCCCGTTTATTTTGCATAAACACAAAGTCACATGTTTCTTATGACTGTTTCAGTTTGTCATGAGACTGGTCTGGATGACAGAACGACAGAGCTGAGAGCAAAGAGGTTTCTGCAGACAACAACCTTTCTCATCATCAGCCCTCAGTGTCAGAAAATCTACATGTTGTGTCTGTAATAGTTGTTTCTCCCCAGAATTAAACAAATCTGTGAGTAATTGCTAATCAGTCACATGTTGTGGAAGAAATCTCTAAATTAGGCCTCTTTCCATGTCAGATTTGGAATCTGTTATAGGAGATAAACGATTTCTATATGTTTACATTTCTTAAAAAGCTTGAAATGCAACTCTTTGTTAAAGATGCTGTGGCCCAAAACCCATTCCACTTGAACATTTTGAAACTTTCCTGTTACGTTCCTTTTAAACAGATAACCAGCAAACTTCTAAATGACTGCAGTTAATGCTGTGAATGAGGAACAAGAAGAGAATCTCAGCTGTTGCAGCTTTTAAAATAGACTGCAGAAGCAGAACATACCTGTATGTAGAGGTTGACCTCAGCACTCCTGCACAGGTACGGGAAGTTTCCTCCAGTTTTCAGATGAGCTCTCCTGGCATTAGGATACAGTTTGTACATTTCCTCTTTGGCCTCCAGAGACAGAGCGCTCTGATCAAACACCTGAACATCAGGAGAAACATTACTCAGGTGGTTATAGTGTGAACACAGAGGAAACACAACAAGCTGACAGGAAAACACTTACATCTATGATGGTCACAGCAACTTCTTTTATTTTGTGGGGCTCCACGTACGAGTTCTGACAGTTGAGTGTTAGTCGTGAAGCTAGCTCACTTTGGCTTAAAGTCTCCAGCTGTAGATGGACAACATATCAGAGGGTAAATACTATAGCATTCTAACAACAACATCTTTTACTCTGTGGGGAAACAAATTATTCTTTGAAAATGGTGAACTTTGTAAATAAAAAGGAACTCATACTTCAGTTTTGAAGTCTGGTAATTCTGATCAAGTATTCAAACCAAGCTCTGTTTTACTTTTGAAACCTTTCCATAGTTACTGAAAAACCAGAGAAATTAATCAAAAAACACTAGAAAATGCTTTGTTAGTTGGATAAGAACATTTTAGCCTAATGAAGTGTTTTGATTGACAATTCTAAAACAAACATTGTAATTAGTTATGTCCATAATGTTTATAAAACTGGGTTTCCTTTACAAAATGTTACAAAATGGGTGTTCCACAAGGTTTCGTTTTAGTACCACTTGTTTTTATTTCATGATCAACATGAAAAACGTAAAACTGTTCAGGGCCTGTATGCAGATCGTGCTGTCAAGCAGGAAAAACAAAAGTCAAAAAGCTTGTAGGGGTAACCCTGGTGAAATATTCATTTCTATTTTTGTCTTTGATTTTATTTTTTCCACTTATAAGAAGAAAATCATTTTAAAGTGTTTTATTTTCTTTAAGTGAATAGGACAATAAGTCCTATATATATGTTATCTCATTTAATCTTTTAAAAGAGGTTATGATCAATATATCATTACTCAAGCTTATTGAATTAATCTTTGCATGTCTCTTTATTCCAGAGTTTGACACTGTGAAGGAAAAAGAGTGGAAATGTGTTTTTAATGTTTTTTTTCTTAGTACTGGTATTAATCATGGTTTTATTATCATTTTTTTATTGATTTAATGATTAAATTAGTTCACTATTAATCCAGTGATGCAAAGGTTTGACTTATAAGCTTAGGTGAAGTGATTTTTAAGACAGCATGTTAAGTCTGCCTTTTGCAGCTTCAAGGTCTTTTGCTGATAAGAACTTGCAGCTGGCCGAACCAAGTGTGAGAAGCCCAGATTATTTACTTTCTCACCTCTTCTCTCTTTTTCCCTCCTCTCAGAACTAATTTTCTCTTCTCACAGTTAAGTAGTTGTTCATTGTTCGTCGGAGCGGATGGTTCTGACTGGGTTTTCTCTGAGGTGGTGTCCATCTCTCGACACCTGCATGGATGTAAACCTGGATGGAAGTTACTAACCTAGTTTTGCTGCCGAGAAGCACCTGACTGATTCCAGCCTGGAGCCCGCTGAGGCTAGTTATGGAGAGGCGAGAGGCATCTCCCTCCGAGCTGTCAAGGAGACATCATCCACCTGCAGACTTACGAGGCGGTCAATCTCAAAACATTCTACCTGCCTGCCTGTTCAATTGACGGAAGACGTCTAAAAGGTAGAAACACGTTTACTGAGATAAAAGCTGAAGTCTAGCCCTCGGAGATGTCCKGTCCTGACGCTGTTTGCTGGTCTGGTCAGTGTTTAAAGAACAAGTGCCAAATTCACTAATCTTCTTTTCCTCCTATTTCTTAAAGCTAAATCTTTACCTTTTTCTCTCTTATTTACTTAAAAACTTAGTCAAGTAGCGTACCAGTAAATTACAACACCTGAAATTTACTGTTTTTGTCAACTCTGAGTGGAATTTTTATGCCGAAAATATATAACTTGTGTCACTTATTCATATAATATTTTTAAGAAATGTTTGTATGTTTATTCCTGTTCATATATCTAAAATAAATTACTTTATTTTGAGAAATCTGACCAGGTCACAAGTTTTCATTTTTCACTTCATGATCAGAGGGGTATTTCATTATTTCCTGATTTCATTTTGCAAGATCTTGCTGGATTATTTTGTGAAGGTTAGGCTGGTCCTAATTTCATAGGGTAATTCACTACAAGCTTTAGAACAAGATGCATTGGACTTAACAGGCAAATGGGAGTGTCCCAGTGGTTTAAAAATATTTCTTCTCTTATTTACACCAAAATGATCTTCATGTGTTTTACAAGTGAACTACTTTCATCTGCTCAGGTACTGTATAGTTGTGCTTCATGATTTTGTCAAATCGTTTCCATAGTGTAACTGTTTGAGCCCAAGCAACTCAGTCTGCTGTAAAACCTGTGAGGATGTTTTTCAAACAAGTTTTGTCATTTTATATAAAAATAGCAACGTTTATGGCCTTGTTTCAGATGTAAGGAGTTTCCCAACATAGTACAACAGGTAATGGACACTAAACAGTTTTCTGTTTTGTTTAGGGGTCTTATAATTTACAACAGTTTGCCAATAGAAGTATAAATGAAAAGAGTTTTTAACAAGAATGGCAGAAACAAAACTCATTTAGGAACACTGACAGATACCAGCTGTGAGCTGTGGTCTTCAGTAGAAACATTTCATTATTTCACTTCTCCTTTATATTTTTTGKCTGTGCTGCTTTTACCTTAACAGTGTTTTTTGTATAGTCAGGTATATCAGGTAATAATAAATGATTTATGAAACATACGTGTTTCATGAATTATAATCACCTGTTCTGTTTTTTTCTGCTTTAATACATCAGTTTCAACTTACATGTTTCCATTTCTTCATCACAACACACCAATTCATCAACAATACTTCTTTATATTTACAATCATTTTTGCTTTCTCTGGGGTTGTTAAAGTCACATGTAGTTTTTATTAGTAAACAGAGAGTGTGTCATCTCTATTTATAGCCTCAGTGTACAAATACCAGAGCAGAGACATGAACATGTGAAAAGGTGTCAGCAGCAGCATTTTGAAACTRGTTCTGAGAAAAGACTCTGAACAATTAATACCCACACTGTAGGTGACTCTTTGAATGTCCTTTAGTTTAAAAGTAAAGTTTAATTCTGACAGAACTGACAAGCTAACAGCTAGTCAAAATCCAGCCTTGACCAAAGCGAACTGATTTTTTAACAGCTCCAGTTCAAAAGATTTTAAAATGGTTCATGCAAAAACTATGCTATAAACCCTCACATCACTATTAATTTGTCAATATATTGTTATTTAAGTGAAGATTTGCTGTTACTTGCAAGAACAAACAGCAGCATGACGTAGCCTGGATCATTTCCAGCAAGGATTTCCTAATATTCGTAATATTAACATTCGGCAATGTAAATATTTAAACAATCGCTCTTACATGAACAGCTGTGAAATTCTAAAGACTGGAATTATTTGATGATAAAATTCCCCTTTGGCAAAGGGTGTGGTTGGATAAACTATTACAAGCTTATCATTCCAGTCCAAAGTGCACTCGAACTGTTACTTTCTCCTGCAGATATTTGTATACACAAATAACCACAGTACTCCATGTAAATAACTAATATAAAATTAACAGTGGTGCAAAGGTTTAGGAAATGGCCTGTCCTGATTTTATTTAATCAAACTTTTTACAGAATCAACTTTAAAATGTCCAAAATCTCAATATAGATTAAAAAAGTAAAACACTAGGAAGACCGTAACACTCATGAACACACTTGGGCTCACTTACCCTGTCTACCATGAAGTCAATAGCATCTGCCATTTTAGGGTCCACAGGTCCTTTAGCAAAGTTCCCCAGAACAATCTTTTTGAGTAAAAAGGCTGGCATCATCCAGAAACTGCAGAGTAACAGAAAAACAACAGCATGAAGACTGAACTCAAACCTTCAGAGGAGACCGTTTGAGGCGTCCGATCGAAGCACCTGTTAGCCGTCCATGTCTGGTTGAAGATGGACGTGTCGCTGAATGAATTACACAAGACCAAAGAGTGAACTCTGGGAGATTTGTGTGTGTACTCGGCAAACTTCTGAGCCAAGAATCCACCCAGAGATGCTCCAAACAGGTGGATCTGAGGACATCAGATTGTCATTAGACATCACAAAACCAGCTTACAAAGAGATAAGGCCTCTGTAAGGAAACTGGGGACAGAGTCTCACCTTATCCAGCTGAAGGTGATCCAGGAGTTTACGAAAACCGTCACAGAACTCCATGAGATCCCAGTAGATGGGATACTGCAGCTGGAAAATATAATCCATCAAATGAACAAATAAAATCAACAAGATAAAAACATTTTCAACAAATGAAGTAAATCTAGTTGCTTTTTCTGATAATTTAGATATCTTAATCTGATCAATAAAAGAGTACTTTGTACTGAAATGTGATATAAAAACTTTAAGTGGACTATAGCACATTAAAACAACAAAAGCTGACCAAAGTGCTTCACAGTTCGGTCAAGACATCAAAAAAATAAAAAAATAAAATTATAGATGCAAATACAGAAACACAATATATAAAAAAGCTCTAAATGAACCTTCAAATCTTAAACATAAGCCAAAGAAAATAAATGGGTCTTCAGCAAAGATTTAAAGGCCTCAACAGTCTCTGCTGACCGATTATTAAGAGGTAAACTGTTCCATAGCTTTGGAGCAGCTATTGCAAAGGCCCGGTCACCTCTAGATTTCAGTTTGGATCTAGAGACATCTAACAGGAACTGGTTAGTAGACCTGAGTGCTCTGACTGGAGTGTAGATGTTAAGAAGATCACATAAAAATGACGGGGCCAGACCATTAAAAACTTTAAAAGCCATCAATAAAATGTTAAAATCAATTCTCAGGTGAACAGGAAGCCAATGGAGAGAAGCCAGGACCGGGGTTATGTGTTCATGCTTTTTAGTACCTGTTAAAAGACATTTAATTTGATGTCTAGTCTGAAAATCATGGCTGTTTGATAGCTCTAACTACTGGTACATTTAGTATTTTGCATTGCTTAAATTTTGAATTATTAATAATTTACTGAAAGTAAGCCTGGATTTCATTTTAATCATTTGTGTTGTAGTGAATAATGTCCATGACAGTCGTGAGATGACTTGTCTATTAATAATCTGCTTAAAGTTGTGGAATGCATAAAGTTCATGGTGAAAAATATGTGAAAGATGCGACCCTCCTTGTGAGGATGTCAGTAAATAAGAACATGTGAAATGGACCACAAGGTTCCTGCAGTTTTGGGCTCACCGAGATGACTCTGTAGCCCCAGCCTGTCAGGGCCAGAACCTGCTGGAAGAACACCTCAGCTGTCCCACTGACAGGGGGCAAGAAGACGATGGGACACCTGATGCTCTTTGGGCCAGCATCGTACAAAGACCACACCTTACTGTCATCGTCGTCAACAATAATCTGAAATAAACAAAACAGAAAAAATGTAAGAGACATGAACAAGGTCAGGTCCTGATTAACTCTGGTAAATGTAGTGACATCATTTAATACTAAAGTTCAACAAAAAATAAAATGGGACCTTAGAAAGCTGTGCAYAAAGTGATGAATCACAATGAACTGAGAAAGACTGTAAAGAAGAGAGGGACAAACGAGTGACCCAATAAAAAAAAAAAAATCAATACACCACATTTACCCAAATCTAAAGTTTACTCATGTCCAGCTATGGAAAACCATATGATTAAAGAGTATGCTTTTTGACCACAACTTTATATAAAACAATGATTTTCAATTATAAAAAGAAAATGTGATGTGATCAATACAGGTGCTGCCAGCTCTAATGGAAGTAACCTCACTGTTTGCCTCCATTTTACAGATCAGCAACACA